GCGCTTTTAAGAAGGAAAAATTGTTATACATGTACTGTGATTTTTTTTCTAAACAACTGTGGAAGCTCATTTAGAGCATAATTTAAATTGATGATTACTTATTGACTGTGTTTATCCAGTTTGCTCTATAAGTACTGGAATGGCAAGGCCAGTTCTTTTGTTTCTACAATTTAATGCATGCTCAGTTGGGTCAATGTCTGGTTATGGACTTGGCCAGTCTAAGACCTTCAAGTTTTTCTGCTGAAGTTCTTTGTTGTGTTGGTAGAGTGTTTTGGATCATTGTTTTGCTGCGTGATATGGCTCCTCTCGATTAGACTGGATGCAATTCTTTGTGTGATTCCTTCAACTCTGCCCTATGGAGGTTGTTGGTGATGTCACTGACTGTTGTTTTTAGGTTTTCTTCACAGCTGTCACAGTGTTTCTACCATCAACTGCTGTTGTTTTGCTTGGTCGACCTATTTTACAGCTGGTTGTTGGTACACCAGTGGTTTCCTTCTTTTTCAGGACATACCAAATTGTATTGGATATGCCCAGTGTTGTGCAATGGCTCTGGATGATTTCCCCTCTATTCTCAGCTTCAAAATTGTCTGTATCGTTTTAACAATAAATACAGTCTTCACAAGCGAAGCACAGGCCAAGAGTATTCAGAGCTATTCAGAGCTATTAATTGTTTAAACAATCAGTGTGACAGGGCACTGCTGGGCACTTGTCAGTTACATATTCCAATATTTTTACTCACCCGAAAGATGGGTGGGTTCAAACAAAAGGTGCCAATTTTTAAGTTGTTTAAATACATCTAGATTTAAATATCTCATACTCAAATATCTTCAGTGTACAGCAAAAACAAAGGAACTGGCCTTGCTGTTTCAAGACTTCCAGAGGAGACTGTGTAAAAACTTATTCTTATTCTTTATTTACTCTTTAAACTAGTTATTTTGGATAGTAAATAAAATAAAATAAAAATATTTATATTGTAAACGGCATTATTCCTCTTTCCTACCACCACTGTAAAGCAATCTGAGTGGGTAAGTCTCTCTACAGTCTACAATTTCACACCAAACCACTCTCAATGACTGAGCTGTGCAAAAATTATCCACCAAAATTGGTGTAATTCTGCTTTAATTACTGTTAAGAGCTTTTAAAAGGCTTAAACGGTCTCTTTTCAGATTGCAATTTGATGCTTATCTTTGCATTTGTTGCTTTTATGGGCATTAACTTTACTGCAATATCTGTATTTATCCTGATTTTGTTTCCTTATCGAATTAAACAGTAACACAACATCTGTGGAGCCTCATCAGTTCCAGAAGGAAGAAAACACTTGTGGAAATGTTAGTTTAATCACTCCACCTGATTGTAGTAATGAAGGTGAATAACCTGCTCTTGCTGTTGAGCAGCAGCTGTATTTCCAGGGGAAAGAGGCTGTGAAAACACACAGCTGGTTGACTATAAAGTAGGACTGGGCCAGCACTTGTGAGCATGAGTAAAGAGAGGCACTGGCACACTCACAGCATTTTCAAAATTTAGCCTGGGGGCTCTGGAAGTCAGGCAAAGAGCATAGCAAGGATCTGCTGGAGCTGCTGAACACTATACACTGACGTGCCAAAAGTCATGGGATAGCAGTATGTAATTGATTATGAAGTTGCACTACCTCAGGGGATGGCTTGTATAAGTTTTGAGGTCTTATCTTGTGAGTGAGGTTGAACCCTGGCCAGTGTGTACATGGCAAGGCGACATGAATCGGAATTCAAACAAGACATGATAGTGGGTGCCAGACAAACTGGACATACCATTTCCAAAGTTGTGTGGGTGTTTAACAGCCCTTGATCCACAGTGTCATGTGTGTACTGGGAATACATCATAGAAGTCATTACCACCCACAGTGGACAGCGCAGTGGCCACCCACAGGTGCATAATGATTGTGACTGGCGGCATCTGGCTAGAATTGTTCATGCAAACAGATAAGCAACTCTGGCAGAAAATCACAAGTACATTCGATGCAGGAGGCCCCACACACATATCCTGCAGGTCAGTGCAGCGTTTCCATGGGATATAGGAGCAGAAGGCCCACTAGAGTGCCTCTGTTAACACCACAACATTGGACAAAGCACCTCACTTGGGTTTGTGAAGTTGCTAACTGGACCCTAGAAGCCTGGCAACATGTGGAATGGTCCGATGAGTCATGGTACCAATTGTTTCGGGCTGAAGGTAGGGTTCATTTTGGGCAGAAAACTCTTCTAACCACAATGTAAAATCTCTCAAATTGCGGCCCAGTAAAACCGCAGAAAAAGGTTTCCCAGCTCACGGCCCAGTCAAACATCGCTATCACAGTGAAAAGTAGCCTGGCTGCTTTCCTAAGTCCTGGCTTACAACCCAGTCAAATTCTTTGCCAGCAGTGAAAAGCCTCCTGGTTTATGGCCAGTCAAACACAGTTAATGTGATAAATAGTCTCCCATTTTGCGGTTCAGGCAGATTCTCCTACTATGGATAATGGCCTCCTGGCTTACAGTCTAGTCAAACTTTGCTACTGTAGTGAAAGGCCTCCCAGCACAGAGCCCAGTCAAACTCTGCGACCGTGGTGAAAGGCCTTCCAGCTTTTGGCCCAGTCAAACTCCCTTAGTATTGTGAAAAGTCTCCCGGTTTGTGGCCCAGTCAAACTCTCATACTGCGTTGAAAGGCCACCTAGCTAGCTGCTGTAAAAGTCTCCCAGTCTGCAACCCAGTCAAATTTTATGACTGCAGTGAAAGGCCTCCCCGTCAAACTCTGATACAGCAGTGAAATGTCTCTCTGCTCTCAACACAGTGTGAGAAGACGACTGCAATGAAATAGGTAAACTCTGCTACTGCAGTGAAAAGCCTCATGGCTTGTGGCCCAGTCAAAGTCTGCAACTGAGGTGAAAAGTCTTTCAGCTTGTGGCATGGTCAAACTCCACTTTTAAGGTGAAAAGTCTTTCAGCTCACAGTCCTATTACACTCAGCTACTCAGCAGTGAAAGGCCTCATGGCTTGAAGCCCAGTTAAACTCCACGACTGCACTTAAAAGTTTCTCGGCTCGTGGCCCAGTCAAAAAGTCTCTGTGCCATGGTACAAAGTCTCTCGGCTGTTTTTTTGGTTTTCGCTCAACAACAGAAAAACTCACTGACCTGTGCGGAAAGATCATAACAAATACAAGCGTACCATAAAGAATAAAAAAACAACAAACAAAAACATGGTGTAAAGCGGCAGCCAAAACGTGCAACGCTTTTTTACACCGGACACACATCATCGTCATTATGATTATGTTTGGGTTTATTCCACCACATATCATTAAAACCAGTAACTGTCCCATCTCTAATTTGGATATAGAAGTTAAAACCAGAGGAAGTCAAGGAGAAATTTAAGTAGAGTCTGGTTTACTTTTTCCAGTCAGTTTGGAGTACAGCCTCGGCAGTCTCCCAGTGTCCAGAAGTGAGCCAGTGCAGGGAGCAAAAATTAAAGGGGAAAGTTGATGAGGAACAGGTGTTTGCCATCTCCCTTACCCACCTGGTCTGCATAGCAGCTCTCTATGTATGCCTTTTTGCAATTGGTACTCAGGTCTTATCCTTGTGGTTCAAAACAGTCTTCTATAAAATTTCTGTACACTGTACCTTCCTTTCAAAATACATATCTGTTAATATGCTAACATGTCTTTAACATTATCAACAATACATAATCAATACATAATCAATTTGTAATACAGTACCTCATTCTCACTGCTTTACCTCATATGCTCTTTGCTCTTTGTCCACTATCACTGATTTTAATTATTTAGAAACAACATTGCAGAATTTTCCATACACCACCTTTCAGTCTTGATGAACTTTATTGATATTTATTGACTTAGTTATATTTATTTATTGATATTTATTCATTCTGAGTAAATTTAGAATGACTTTTCATAACACTCTGAAAACAGCTGAAAATTACAGAGCCGTGCTGGTGACAAACCATATAAATAATACTAATGCCACGACTTAGTAAAGCATGGGAACGAGATAATTAAGTCATGGCCACAACTAAGTAAGACGTGGAAATGAAATTCTAATGCATGGCCTCTTTCCCATACCTTGCTAAGCAGTGACCACGACTTAATTATCTCCTTCTCACACCTTACTAAGTCGTGGCCACGTATTAGGATCTCGTTACCACTTGTTAATACGCCATGACCACGCATTATTTTTATTTATGCAGAATTTCACTTGCAGGGCTCTATAGAAAACAGCTGCAATATTACAATATACGCACCCACACATACATTATCCAAGCCACTTATCCTTCTGGGTCGCAGGGGGTGTTGGAGCCTATTCCAGTGGACATCTGGCAGATGGCAGAAAACACCCTGGACAGTTCACCAGTCCATCACAGACATTTAAAAAATACAAACTTTATAATTAAAAGTGGATGGACAGGTTATATAGAGGCTTTAAAAAAACATGCAAAAGCAGCAAAATGATTTAATGTTTCTAGTTAACCTTGAAAATCACAGCAACATATTCCAATAACAGACACACGGATCACAGTGTTGACATATCACAGCTTATCTAAGTGGTCTATTTTTAATACTCATTGAATAAAAATTACATTTCTCAAGATGAAACTCATCAAAACTGATGCCTGACATCAGTGAATTATGCTGTTGTAGAGTTAAGTAGAGTTGGGAGGTTTATATACCTTTTGCTTGCAAATGTTTGTGCACTCTGGTTATATAATATTTTTAAGTGAAAACAACACATTTTATGTTCTCTTTTTTCCCCAACTAATAAACAGAAATTGTGCACTGAACTTTTACATACAATGGTACGACTAGTTGGTACTTACAGGTAAGCAAATAAACCTTTGCACCAAATTAATACATGAGTGCTTATTTGTATTCATCCCAACTCTGTAAACCCCTGGAAACATTATTGATCCATGATTTTGTGCCGTAAATACGTGTTTACTCTAGGTTAAAAATTAAGCTTTTTTAGCCTACATTAACAGCTGCGAAAGCACAGACAGACCATCTGAAACTAATATCTGTGAACAGTAGTCACTGCTTTGTGATCATGGCCAGCATCTCTAGCACAGTTAGTAGCCTGGCAATGAGAAAGTTCTATTTAGTGCTTTTGGTATTGCTAGGCTGCAGCTACTCATCTGTAGGACAGGTATCGAAAGTGAGTGCAGGTGACACTCAAACACTAGGGTCTATAGATGGACACAGTGGCATCGACCTACTGAAAGCTCTGCGGGCTTTGGAAGCCAAGCTCCGGGCCAATGAAGCGGAGCTGGAAAGGCTAAAGAAAAAAGGTAGGACACTGGCAGTGGGTGGACAGATATAGTCTACAACCACATGTAAGACTGGTGATATTCATTCCTGATAGGACTCTCACAAACTTTGAAACATCATAATGTTTTACGTTTGGTTAATATTCACATGCATTACTTGTTTGATGGCAAAATGTAGCTTATCAAAATATATTTGTGGTTTTTCTTTCTTTGTTTTTTGCATGGGTGTTTTGCTTAGACAGCCATAAAATAGGATTTGCTGCTTCTCTGGGAAACAAAGGAAACTATGGACCCTTTAGCATGGATACCAAATTAGTCTACAGTAACGTCTTTTCCAACACTGGGAATGCTTACAATCCCAGTACAGGTATGTTCTATTGTGCCGTTCTTATTTTTTTCCAGTTCTATGTAGAACCAAACAGTTATAAAGTTACAAGCATCAAGGCCTCATCCCCATGTATCTGTGTAGCCATTTGCCTCCGTTTTCAAAAAATTGTTCAGTGACTTGAAATGCTCACATGAGCATTCCAGCCAGGTAAGGGCCAATAAAATTTGTAGTCATATGTCTCAAGAAGGATATTGAGAACATGCACACTGCACAACACATTCACCAATCAGGCATAACATTATGACCACCTCCTTGTTTCTACGCTCATTGTCCATTTTATCAGCTCCACTTACTATATAGGTGCACTTTGTAGTTCTACAGTTACAGACTGTAGTCCATCTGTTTCTCTGCATACTTTGTTAGCCCCCTTTTACCCTGTTCTTCAGTGGTCAGGACCCCCATGGACCCTCACAGAGCAGGTACTATTTGGGTGGTGGATCATTCTCAGCACTGCAGTAACACTAATTAGGTGGTGGTGTGTTAGTGTGTGTTGTGCTGGTCTGAGTGGATCAGACACAGCAGTGCTGCTGAAGTTTTTAAACACCTCAATGTCATGGCTGGACTGAGAATAGTCCACCAACAAAAATATCCTGTCAACAGCGTCCAATGACCACTGATGAAGGAATAGAGGATGACCAACACAAACTGTGCAGCAGCAGATAAGCTATCATCTCTGACTTTACATCTACAAGGTGGACTGACCAGGTAGGAGTGTCTAATAGAGTGGACAGTGAGTGGACACAGTGTTTAAAAACTTCAGCAGCACTGCTGTGTCTGATCCGCTCAGACCAGCACAACACACATTAACACACCACCACCACATCAGTGTTACTGCAGTGCTGAGAATGATCCACCACCCGAATAGTACCTGCTCTGTGAGGGTGCATGGGGGTCCTGACCACTGAAGAACAGGGTAAAAGGGGGCTAACAAAGTATGCAGAGAAACAGATGGACTACAGTCTGTAACTGTAGAACTACAAAGTGCACCTATATAGTAAGTGGAGCTGATAAAATGGACAATGAGCGTAGAAACAAGGAGGTGGTCATAATGTTATGCCTGATCAGTGTATAGCCTCGAAGTTCAAGTTTTTTGACAAAGTAGCGGCGCCGTGTTACAAAAAGACTTTGACCTGCAGACCTCTGCAATTTGACATTTCGCACAAATTCAAATTTGAAAAACTTTTAAAAGCTGAAGAAAACCCACTGCTTCCCGTGTGGTTGTTTACACTGACATGGCTGCCCCCACCTCTGAAATGTCCACACAGTCCTGATCAGACAGAGAAGCTGAGTTTTTCTAGCTTTTGACCTCATTTGAGTTCACATTTATTCTGCATTTGACTTTGGTTAATGATTATCGAGTCACATATCTTTGGCATTATCATTTTGTCAGTTTTGGGGTGAATAGGAGGCAAAAACACGATGGAAAAACTACCTTTTCAAAAATATCCAGATACGTGTGGTCAGGGCGCAACATTCAGTTTCAAGTCCACATTATCTAACTGCTTCTTTTTTGGCTGTTGCAGGCATGTTTACGGCACCCATTAAAGGACTTTACTACTTCAGTTTCTCTGGAATTAATTCACCATCAACATCTATGTTCCTGCTACTCTATAAAAATGAGAAGTTTATATTAAGCTGTTATACTGACCCGTCAGATGACCGTTTTTATACAGCTTCCAATTCAGTGTCTCTGAATCTGGAGGTGGGAGACCAGGTGTATATAAATCTTGGAAGAAACACATCTGTCTTTAATAATGACAATGACCACACCACTTTTGTGGGCCATTTGCTTTTTGTAAATTTAGAATAATACTTCTATCGAAACAAAGTGAGCATTAATCATTCTGTAATTAATAAACTGTGAAAATTGCTAGTTGTATGAGTGTATGTGTATGTAATGTATGTGCTGGTTAAAGGAATATTTTGGTGAATAGTTCTACTCACTCCAAATATAGTTGACCTGCCAAGACATGTGTGATGTCCAAATGTTGCTTCTATAGTTCAGAGCCAAAGATATGATGCTAACATTGCTAACAAACACTAGGAGTAAATATCCCCCCAAACCATTTCATCAAATACTTGCCCAAAACTTCCAAAAAGACCAAAGTCAGAGTGAAGAGAATTCACAACACATAAGCACTATAAGCTAACATAGGTGGAGAAGTGCTTAGAAAATCAGTACAGTGTCACATGAATATGCATATGAAGAAATGTATCAGTTGGACCCACCAGCGACTTCCTCAAATCCACATCTTAGCACAAAGCTAAAGATAACTTCTTTTCCATTCCACCTTCACCCTTTCAACTCCTTGGGACCACCAGTGGTTCCAAAATGCACTTCGTCATATTCTTCATAAATTTCATATTTCATAAGCTACATTTAAAAGGTAGGTGTCATATGAGAGCTGTAACTGTCTTCTTTCCAGTCGAATATATGGGTAATGTAATTTTAAACCCTTAATAATAAAAGAAGCTGAGCTCACAATGTTGTTTACTGAAAGTCGACCCATTTTTCCACAAATCTGGGCTATAAACTATAAACAGACGGCGTCTCTTCAGTGATCTGCTCTGTAAAAAAATTTTTTATAAAATAATACAAAGAGCGTCTGAGATTTTTGGCTTTCAGCAGTAAATTGTAAGCATATAGCAATATGTATGTGATCATAAAACACATGCTCTGTTAATTTGAAGGGAGCTTTTACAAACAAACAAACAAACAAATAAATAAATAAATAAAATAAAAAATTTACATTTATTTCATGCAGTTACTGAATAATTTGCCTTATGATTTGGTCATGTAAATTCAGATGGAACAACTAAAATATACCCTGGTGAATAAGATGGTGCAGCAGTTACATTGTAGTGCATCAGATGCTAGAATAAAGTGGTGCACCATTTAAGGTGGAATGGAATATTTTAATAAGAAGCTACTGTATGGGAAGCCAACTTTAGCTACGAATGGTATGATAGTGAACACAACGGAGACGGAAAAGAAGTAAACAGTGTTTATCTCTGGTTCATTTCTTTGGTGTCATCTGTAAAAATATGCTTGCGGTAGATTTTTACATGTCCTGCTGGAGACCTCACCACACCATATACATGGAGACCTTGCACGGTAACTTTTGCACACATTTCTTGCTAGTTTTTGGTTTACTACAAAAGCCAGAGTTGGCATGTGTCTGCATCAGTAGTAATGTTGCAGACCGCCCATAGATTTCTTGGATTTCTTTGTTCTGTTTTTGCAAAATAGAACACCTCATTGCCATAGATTTATCAGTAAAAGATAAGCTATCTTTCTTACAGTAAGCAGGCCTTAAGTATTTCTGTGCAGGGGTCGGCAATCCAAATGTTATGAAGAGCCATTTTGTGCTCTCAATAAAAATCAAACTACCTTGGGAGCCACAACATTTTATGTCCATTTTATTGAAGTAACGTTTTACCATCTTGGCTGTAAATATGTTTCAGTATGTGCTGATGTACTAGTACAGGCTAAACAATATAATACAAACAAAAACACAGACTTACTTTGATCTGCTTTAAGCTTTATCTGAACATTATAGCCACTTTTCGCACATCTCTGGCAGGAAGCTTTTCCACAAAAGTAGAATAGTTTCTTGTAAAATGTCGCTCAATTTTCGATTTTTACAGAGGCTGAAGTCGCTTCTAATTCGCCAGCTTCTTGTTTGATTTTTTCCCGTTCAACCCTAAATGGGGACTGAGGCACCAAGGTGGAACTTAATTCAAACAAGAAGCTGATGAACGAGTAACTCACTTTAGCTTTGTGACTGTTTCAATGTTTGACAGTTTCTCGTGGCAGATTAAATGTATCAGAAAACCAGCTGGAGTGATTATGAATGCAAATAAGTCCATTCGTCTCCAAATTATCGATGTTCGTCTTAAATCTTTTTCTTTACCTTTCTGTTAGCTATTAGCTAGGTGAGACTGTTGTCTGCGTTGCTATAGTGAACAGCAGTCTGGCAACCAACCTTCAGGGTTAAAGAGTGAATTAGCAGTTCTACATTAACTCCAGCGTTTAAGACCATTTATTGATAAAACTGTGTTGAACGATCAGCAGTTTTATTTTACTGCAAAGGAGGATTATTTTATTTTTACCTACAAATCTAATTCTGCTGTGGAGTAAAAGAGCTGCATGTTGCCAACCCTTGGCCTAGTCGGGCCAGTTCTGAACTGAAGAAGAAAAACTTGGACAAAAAGTCATGTACATTTGATATTTGACCAAACTATTCCTGTGTATTCCACGTGAAATAATGTTTTTTTTTTTTCCTTTCTAAACTTTTGTTTACATCTCAATGATTCTGTTTTCAATAAACTATGTGAAGAATAGCTTACACAATTTTGTAAAGATCAATGCAATTTTAGTCAATGCAGGATAAAGTCATAAATAAGACATAAATAAATAAACTATTGTGCAATACTTGGGAATAATTGTTTGCTGGTTTCACTTCATTGTACCAGCATCTCTTCTACAAGAAAACCAATTAACCTAAGAGTCTATCACAGCTAAGTGATGCTCATAATCAACTTAATTATGAATACCATAATCTCTGGCCAACGACGAGGTTTGCTGAGCTCGCTGCAGTTACAAATAAAAAAATCTAATTATGTCATGATGTGTAATAACTGTCAATATGGCTGAGAAATGGAAAAAGTAATTATCTTTTGTTATTGTGTGCAAACTGTTTACTGCGATAAGACCTGAGCTTGCATATCACATGATGCTGACGGGGGAACAAACATGCACAAAAAAAGCTTACTTCAGCAGAACTGCTCAGACAGGGACTGTTGGATTCATCTTTATTTCCCCATATTCCTGAAATACAGCAAACTAAGACATATTTTGCGAAGGCCTGTGTTCATTTTTAATGTTCTTTGTGGCTGGTAATTCATTTAGAGCAGTATAAAAGGCCATGTGGTGGAGAGAATAGAAGATGTCTTTGTAGAGTTCGGGCCCAGCCATTGCTCCTAATCAGCCAGTGTGAAGTTTCTGGACCTGCAAAACTCGTTTCCTAGGCCTTTTGTGCACAACTGCAAACACAGAACAAATTTACACTTGGAAATGCAAAATTAGTTTGAAACTCGACTGAAGGTGGTCATGTTGAGCGGGCAGAAATGAGAACATTCTCTGAATAGACCACCTGGCTGTGAGTGCTAATGATGTTTTGGCTGCATATCGAGTGCGGAATTCTCCACTGTCTGATTCCATACTTGCTCATGGAAGGGGCTTGGAAGGAGTACTCGGCACCCCATGTGAGGAAGCTTGTCTCGAAGCAGCAGGTCTCCGGCCCCTCTGTGAAAACGTGCTCCTCACTGTCAGTGTCTGATCTCTGGGTGTTCTGGACCTGGATGTGAAAAGACTCCAACTCTTCCCCTCCATGAGCGCCATCCAGCCTGCAAGAAATTGTTTTCTTTGCTAATACCTTCTCTACCAGACCTTCTAATATTAACTGAATCCAGGCAGGGTAGCCCACTAACTGCAGACTTCTACATATAGGAATAGCCATATCAGATCTAGGATAATCTTACAGAACTGACCCAGTGAACCTTTGCCCACTAGCTACACTTACCCTCGCATTGCATCCCTACATGGTGATAAATGGTAGGTGTTGCTTGTGTTTCTGCTGTAGCACCTGGCCCAGCCTGAAGCTCCTCCTCCTGTACTTCTCTCTCTATTCCTTCCAGATACCCACAGAAGGCAGAGCTAAGGCAGGATGGATTGTTTCTCCAGGAGGCACATCATGTCCTTCAACAAGTCCTGGAAATCTAGGGCTACCTCCTTGAGAGGTTCCTTTCGGACACTTTCACTCAGACTGGGCCACTCCCACTGGGTTGCCAGTTTTAGGAATACCCCATGGTTCCACTCCCTCTTTAACTTCTCTGAATTTAGCAGAAGGCTATCCAAAGATCTCAACTGAACCTAATCATGGTCCATAAAGTCCATGCCCTTCTTGTTGGCCCTTTGGACCACTACCTCAATCTGTAAATGTAGCTGCTTGTCCTGTGCCCTTTGGACAAAGTTCAGAAAAGCAAACCATTTCTCATTGAGTTTGTCACTCTGCAGGGTCACCACAGTGATATGGCCAATGACATGCACTATATGTCCAAAGGTATTTGGACACTACTTCTGATTAGTGAGCTCAGCTATTTGAAGGTGCATCTATTGCTGACTCAAGCAATCAGTTGCATACATACAGCTTGTACAATCTCCACAGAGAAAGATAAGAGAGCTTTATGGATGTAATGGGACACACTTTGGAGCAGCCACACATGAGCCCAAGGTTGCCATGCTCAATCCCAAGCATTAGCTGGAGTGTATGAAGCTTCTGTGCATTGGGCTGTGTAGCAATGAACTGCACCCTCAGGAGTGTTGGAGCTCCATCCAATACCTTTGGGATGAGTTGGAGTGACGTTTGTGATCTAGAACTAATCATCAAACATCAGTACCTGACCTCACTGATGCATTTCTAGCTTAATGTAATCAAATCCTCACAGCAATGTTCCACCATCTAGTGTAAAGCCTTCTCAGCAGAGCAGAGGCTGTTACTGCAGCAAAGGGGGGACAAACTTCTTTAGATGTCTAAGGTGTCTAAGACATACAGTGTATGGCTTGTATGTCCCTTTCTACTCACACATGGGGCTTTATTTATATTGTTTTTTGCCTAAATAACAATTTTACCTTTATCTTTTTTTCCAATCTATTCTGTCAAAATAGTGGGTAACACTTTACTACATGATAAGCTTGTCATGACAACTGACATAAAGTCAAATAAACCTTTATAAAGATTTATTGCAGTTGGTATCATCTGTCATAATGATGCTGAAACCAGATTCAGAGCATTCTTGACAAGACCCATCTTCC